AGTAAGAGTAACCCAGACAAGCACTAAAGTGTGCGTGTGTGTGTGTGTGTGTGTGCATGTGCATGTTTGTGTGTGGCAGTTGCTTGGGCCAGTGTCTAAACTCTAACACTAGATTCCTATTGCCTGAAATGTTCCCATAATCCAAATGTCTGAGTCTGTGCTCTCTATGTCTCTAGTCCCATGATCAAAATGAATAGGTGGAAACTTGAATTTTAAGTTGAGTAATATTTGAGGAGACCTCTCAGTTGAGGAGACCTCTTTCCAATCTTTATATAGCCATAGAGAAAGCAAAGCTTCATGATAAGCTAGTTGGGAGCTCTGTTCTCTAATGAGTGGATTGGTCAGAATTCTCTGCTACCATAGGCTCTTAATAGGAAGTGATTATCTCCCCAACCTTCCTGTGACAACCTGTGAAGTGTCAGCATCAACCGCATACTCGTTCCTCAAGCAGCAGAAACCATGGGCAGCAGTGATGTCTGGGCCCCACAACCTCTCCCTGTGGCTACATGCGGGATCCTGAAGGCTCTAGCATGGTTACCTTGGTCGTTTCCTTGCTTATGTTTCTATCAAACCTACATCTTAGTTTCTACTTCTTTGCAAACTGTTTTCCTTGTGGTTTATACAGTGTCAGTATTTTTCTATGCCACCCCAGACCCTAACAAAAAGCACAAAAGGAGCCCTAGCCAGTTTGGTTCAATGGAAAGAGCATCAGCCTGCAGACTGAAGGATCCCGAGTTCAATTCTGGTCAAGGGCATGTACTTCGGTTGTAGGCTAGCTCCCGAGCCCTGGTCGGGGAGCTTGCAGGAGGCAACCTATCAGTGTGTGTCTCCCCCTCCCTTCCACTCTCTCTAAAAATCAATGGAAAAGTATCCTAGGGTGAGGATTAATAAGAAAAAAACACACAAGAAAGCTTTAAGTATGGAGAGGTACATTTTAAATGTTAGGTGCCACATTCACCGGAAAATTGGGAGTCTTATGTCTATGGATGGCTTTTCATGATGTTTGTTCTTCCAACGTAAGCTGCTCTTCTCTCTCTCTCTCTCTCTCTCTCTCTCTCGCTCTCGCTCTCGCTCTCTCGCTCTCAAAGAGCACTTTGCTTGACTGCTATATATTTCATTAGTTTTTTGTGGGGTTTTTTTTTTTGAGAAACTGGGCTTACCTTGAACTAAGGCCCAGTAAATGGTTTTATTTTATTTGTAATTGCTTTTTAGTAAGTGTCTAGGGAGCACCCTGGTGTAGTACTTGGTCTTTAGACAGATCTGGGTTGTCCCCACCATTTACCAGCTGTGTAACTTTGGGCAAGTCACCTAACGTCTTTGAGTTTTCTCATTTATAAGATTGTGAGGAGAGCTATATGAGATCATGTATGAATAGTAGATGATGTGTACAAAGTGCCAGGCAAAGAGACCTGCACATAGTAGGTCTAATGCAGGTGACTTGGGACATTCAAGTTACAACCCCAAACCCAAGCCTTCCAGGCTGGATGATAGTAAGCATTAACCATCTGAGGCAATGACTAGACTGAATCACTGTGAACTATATCTTGCAATTTAAAAATAAAATAGGCCCTGGCCGGTTTGGCTCAGTGGATGGAGCATCGGCCTGGGGACTGAATGGTCCCAGGTTCGATTCCAGTCAAGGGCATGTACCTTGGTTGCGGGCACATCCCCAGTAGGAGGCATGCAGGAGGCAGCTGATCGATGTTTCTCTCTCATCGATGTTTCTAACTCTCTATCCCTCTCCCTTCTTCTCTGTAAAAAATCAATAAAATATATTTAAAAAAAAATAAAAATAAAATAGAAAACATGATGATAACTTTCTTTGTTCTCCAGTACTTTAGGGTGTTTCAGTACTTCATTATTAAGCTGACTTAAATTTAAAATCATGAATCCACTTGACTTTTGCTAATACTTCTGTTAACTTGACCAGTGGCATCATAACTGGCTAAAGTATTAAAGCAAATTAGATCTTTTCACATGTATTCCAAATGCAGACACTGACATGGCCAGTGGTGATCAAGAGAAGTTAGCTCGCCCTGGCCAGTGTGTCTCAGTTGGTTGAGCATCGTCATCCTGTCACACATTTGACCCCTGGTTAGGGCAACATACCCACGTTGCGGGTTTGATCCCTGGTCGAGGTGGGTATGGGAAGCAACTGATCGATGTGTCTGTCTCTCTCTCTCTCCTTTTCCCTCTCCCTCTCCCTCTCCCTCTCCCTCTCCCTTTCTCTCTAAAATCAATAAAACATATTTTTAAAAAGATTTTTAAAAAGAGAGAAGTTAGTTCACCAGCAGGAACTTGAAGTCCCACATGCCATGTCCCCGGCTCTGTCTTGCTTCAGAGTTGCTTTGAAACCAATGACAGGGCATGTCACCATCTTCTTTTGTGGTCTTCTATTAATGGAGAACCGTAATGTTTAGACAATTGTTTATTCACTTTTTGAGATGTTGAAATATAAAATGCTGCCAACTTGGAAAACAGTAGTCATTGCTGTGGAAGCGCTTCATGTCGCTTGGAGGGTATCAGGCTCCTTTCCCAGTTGCCGTGTTTACCTGAGTGTTCTGCTCCCGGTGTTGCTGCAGCGCTGGGGAAACAAGGTGACGTGTAGACACGGACAGTTCCTGTCAGTGTTGGCCTCGCCCCATGAGCTCATTTAGTCGCCTGGGATGCCATTGTTGGGATGGATCGAATCTCTAACATCAGATGGAAGAGGAAGCCTCTTGAAAGCTCGAAGAGAATGAAGGAAATATTACACACAACCAGCGCGTTAGGGTATAAAGCCAGTTCATACTAGACTTTCCATTTTTCCTCCAGAGTTTGTTTCTAATTTCTCCCCAGTAAAAAATTAGAAACCTTCTGTATCCGGAGCCTCACTGTGAAAACTTGCTCAAGACCTATTGTCTCTGGGCCTTGGTTTTCTTACCTGTAAAACGAAGGTGGAGGTTCCTTCCTGCTTTTGTATGGTTCTTTGTTTATACGTATCTGAAGCTTTTAGAAGGTAAATATCTGCTGATTTAAAGAAACATCAAGACAAAACATGTCACTTGAGCTTCCCAGGAGCTGGGGAATCATCTGTGTACAGTACGCTTCCTTTAAACACTTTCTCTCTGTATTGAATTTTTCCTCTCCCCAAGAGCTCTATAAAAACAGTGCTTTCTTGCCAGAGACATCAAGGCCTCAGAACTACTGCCCTCCTTCTATGAACACATTATATGGTTTGCGTTTGGCTTAGGATCTTTTCACAGACAGCCCAGCTCCATTCCGAGAGGCTGACTCAGCAGAGTTCCTCCAGCACATTCCCAATGTCGTCGTCGTCGGGATTGGAGGCCACCCCCGCCAGCCTCCGGGCAGACGATGCTGCCTCTCTTCTCCTGTGCGGACCCACGGGGAAGAGGCACTACAGCATCACTCCCTTCTCCATTTTGTTTATTTAAAACATATATACATATATTTATATTTTATTTCAGAGAGGAAGGGAGAGGGAGAAGGAGAGAGACAGAACATCAATGATGAGAGAGAATCATTGATCGGCTCCGCCTGCACACCCCCTAGAGCAGCGGTTCTCAACCTGTGGATCGCAACCCCTTTGGCGGTCGAATGACCCTTTCACCGGGGTCGCCTCAGACCATCCTGCCTATCAGATATTTACATTACGATTCATAACAGTAGCAACATTACAGTGATGAAGTAGCAATGAAAATAATTTTATGGTTGGGTCACCACATGAGGAACTGTATTTAAAGGGCCAGGAGGTTGAGAACCACTGCCCTAGGGGGATCGAGCCTGTAACCCGGGCATGTGCTCTTGATGGGAATCTAACCGGGACCCTTCAGTCTGCAGGCCAGTACTCTATCCACTGAGCCAAACCAGCTAGGGCTCTTCTTCCATCTTATTGTAGATGTTTTCCCTGCTTCTCCTCAGGTTGTCGGAGCTTGAGCAGAGCAGGTCTCATTTTGTCCACAGCCTGATTAGGACCACCTCAGTCCTCTCAGTGACCGCCTCTCTCCCGCCCTTGCTATCCACACAGTCCCTGGGCCTTTCCTGCCTGTTCCCGTCACTGTCTTGCCCTCTGACCTGCTCTCGGGTTGCCAGGGAGCCCTCTCCTTTTCTTTGGTTGCAATCCCAGCATAACCCCAAAGGTTTAGGAGAAAGAATCTGGATGTGTTATTGTGGAAAATGTCTCTGATACACAGTAGTAGAGAAGACAGTATATTGAACCTCGTGTACCCATCACCCAGCTTCACCAATCTTGTTTCATCTATTCCTTCCAACCCCAGGTTATTTGGAAGCAATTCTCACATCACATATCATTTCTGGTTTTTCCTTTTTTTAAAACTCCTGTCCGACTGGTGCCACTCAGTTGGTTGGGCATCATCCCATGCACCAAAAGGTGGTGGGTTTGATTTTCAGTCAGGGTGCATACCCAGTTTGTGGGTTTGATCCCCAGTTGGGGTGCATATGGGAGGCAACCAATCAATGTGATATTTCTCCTCTCGCTCTCTCTCTCTCTCTCTCTCTCTCTCTCTCTAGTTAATTTTAAGAACTTCTCCCAGTTTGTTTGAGAGAAAGGCATAAGTTAACTCTCATCCCAGCACCTTTCTGGCCTCCTAGGCCCCCAGTCTGCGCAGAGGTGGATGTACCTCCCCTCCCTCCCACAATCCCCTCTGGTGGAGCATCTGACAGAAGAATAGGATCCAGGCCACCTGCCTGGTGCGGGTTTCTAGCCACTCAGATGGGAAGGGAGACTGCTTCAAGCATGAGGGGGACAAGGATGGAAAAGATGCCTGAGTCACACCTCGCTGTCAAAGATAAGGTGGGCGAACTTGTTTTGATTCACAGTCCACTACCAACCTGGTAAGACATGTTCCCCGAAACAAAATGGCAGCCGTGATAGCAAGCTGTGGCCTCATTTCCACTCCTGGGCCCCTTCCCTGGGAACAGGTAAGGCTGTCCTCCTGTGAGGCATCTAAAGGCTTGTCCCGTCCTGTCTTTGTTTTCAGATGCAGTGGCAGAACGTGGAGCACGTTGGTGACCAGAGCCCCTATGTCACCTCTGTCATTCTTCACATTAAGCAGAACGTGCCCATCATCCGTGACAACCTGGCTTCAACACGGAAATACTTCACTCAGTTCTGCATTAAATTTGCAAAGTAAGTCCTGGAGCATTCTCATCACTGGGCTATTTGGGGCCATGCTCATGATCCAGGTGTCCCCACCTCCAGCCAGGGCTTATTCTGGTTGTGGCAGGCAAACTAATTTTTTTGTACCCAAAGAAGCATAGTAATAAATCTACTAAAGTCATAGATAACAGGAACAGCAATGTGATCACCAACCACGTCAAGGCAAATAGAAATGCGATGAGGGGATCCTGTTATTTGGAATTATGTGGAAATAACTATGTCCCCACCCCACGGTTTGAATAATTAAAATTCTTTTTCAGTGATTTCATATATACATTTTGTCTCCCCAATGAGATTATAAGCTTTTTAAGGGTAGGAACCATCAGTTCTGTTTCTTTTGACTCTTCTCTTCCTCCCTCATAGTAGCTATTACTGTGGCTCCAGAATTCATCCACTTGTGGATGTCCTTGAGTCCAGGGAAGGTACTAGAAATTAGGACGGGAGAGTCAGGGAGCAAGCACTGAGCTGATGTCTTCCTACCGCATCCTGGGGTGCGGCCATTTCGGCTTGGTGTGTTGAAGCAGGGAAATAGTTTAGTCAGCGTCTGGCTGTAGCGCTATTTCCCCCGAGACCAAATAATGTAGAGGGTCAGTGCCTCCTCTGACCAATTATCAAACAAGCACTTTGGCAAACTCCTCAGGAAAGGGCTTCAGGAAGGTCAGCCCAGTCCAAGCTACTGTATTTGGGTTGTTCTCATCCAAGTCCCGAAGGATGATTTAGAACTCCAAGTTTCTGTCCTCCCCAAATATCTCCCTGTTTGTATTCAATTAAGGCTTTTCTTCTCCCTCACAAATAAATCCCTAAGGAACAACCATTATGGAGTGGCTGTGGCGTCAGCTTCAGTTTCCGGCTTGTCAAGAAAAGATCGAGCGGCCTCTCCAGGGAGGCGTTAATGTTTGCAGGGTGGCGATGGACCGGGATTGACATGGCCTTCGCTCTCCGGGCGCTCATTACTGTGTGCTGAAAGTATGGCTGATACATCATATGGTGACACTCCCCATAGCCCCTGGTAGAAACAGTATATCTGTGAACATTTACTGTGGCCAGAAATCTCCAGTGTGGTCGCATGGGGTCTGATTGAGCTAACGTTGAGTGAATTTACTCGGCTGGTCCCGGCACCAGCCTCACATTCTCTCAGAGCCCTTTCATTTTATTACTAAGCCCATCCTGGGCGAGCTGGGAATAGGATGCCCATCTCTCACATCTGGAAAAGTTTAGCCTGTGATCTAGAAAATGGCTTTCTGATTTAATCTGTGGTACCCTCTCATCCTTCTAGAATCCCAGTGGAAGATTAGAAATCTCAGAGGTGAGGGTTTCCCCAGCCAAGACCAATAGCTGCCACCTCACCCCGCCCCCCCTCCAGGGGATGGAGAAGCGCTTAGCAGTTACCCACCCCATTGCTGGTACTTTTCCTTAAAAAATATGTTCCTGGTCTCCCTATTTTCCTCACCCAGCCCAGTAGACTAGCAGACAGAGCTAGTTCAAGGGTACAGCTGAAGCCTGCTCTAGTGTAAAGTGACATAGGTTGTATACTACGTGTACCATTGCAATTAGTCACGGATTCAGTCTCACTTTCTTATTTGGCCTGACTCTGGTTTGAAGAATCCCTTCTAAATAGTCCCTATTCTCCCTCCTGATCAGCTATCTCTGGAGTTTAAGTTCCTTTCCCTTTAACTTCCTTTCCTCTCCCATCAATGCAAAGCTATGATGTTTTCTTTTGCCTCCGTTTGGTCTCTGCAGCAACAGCCTTTCCTGGTTAGACATCGAGATCACCCCCCTGAGTCCTAGGTTTGGCTCAGTGGCTAGAGCGTTGGCCTGCAGACTGAAAGGGTCCCAGGTTCAGTTCTGGACAAGGGCATGTGCCTAGGTTGCGGGCTCAACCCCCAGTAGGGGACATGCAGGAGGCAGCCAGTCAATGATTCTCTCTAATCATTGATGTTTCTATCACCCTGTCCCTCTCCCTTCTTCTCTGAAATCAATAAAAATGTATTTTTTTAAAAAAGAAGAAAAGCCCTGGCTGGTTTGGCTCAGTGGATAAGAGCGTTGGCCTGCAGACTGAAGGGTCCCAGGTTCGATTCTGGCCAAGGGCACATGGCTAGGTTGAGGGCTCGATCCCCAGTGGGGGGCGTGCAGGAGGCAGCCGATCAATGATTCTCTCTCATCATTGATGTTTCTATCTCTCTCTCCCTCTCCCTTTCTCTCTAAAATCAATAAAAATATATTAAGAAGAAGAAAAAAAGATCACCCCCTTGATTGAAACTACTAAGTGACTTCTTGTCCGCTAAGCTGATTCTCCTCTGTTCAGTTATGGAGATAATAAGACAAATCTCTTTATAGTCATTGGGAGGCTGAAATAAGAAGTCAGGTGTAAACTTCCTGATAGAGTGCTAGTGCCAAGCTGACATTCAAAAAGTGGTAGCTGCTATCATTACTATTTAGTATTTATTCAACATGCATTCAGTGAAGTACCTGCTATGACTCAGTCACAGAATTAAGTGCTTTGACTTGATAGACGTCGTCCCTATTTTCATTTGCCTTACAATCAAGTAGAGGGAAACAGACATGTGAGCAAATAAAGTAGGTTAGATGTTAGATGACAGGCCTGTGGACTCTAGATATGGTAGAAAGAATATAGTGACTGAGGAAAGGCTTTATAGAAGACATGTCCTTGAGCAGAGTCCAGGAGACATATGTACACTGACCCACCATGCCGTGGAGAAGAGCGTTCCAGGCAGAGGGAATGGTGTAAGCAACGGCACAGAGGCATTACGTAGCCCACAGAACCATGGGATCTGCAAGTAGTTCAGCCAGTTGAAGCGTAGGGTGCTGAGCATGATGAGGTTGGAGACAGAGAGTCTAGACAACCAGGAAGGCCTTGTCTGCAACCGTACAAGAGTTTTGATCAGAGGAAGGTCTTGAAAATATTTGCATTTGAAATAAATCCCTTTGGCAGAAATGGATTAGAAAGGATGAGGCTGAAGGCTGGGAGACTAGTTAGGAAACAATGGAAAGAGCTCCAGTGAGAAAGAGCAGCAGCATTGGGAGTGGTCGGAGGGGTGGATGTGGGAGTTTAGGGAAGAGCTGGTAGCTGATTGGATATTGGGGTTGAGAGCAGGGGAGCTGTCTCGGTAGCTCTCGGGTTTCTGACTTGGGTGAGTGGGTAGATGAGATCCAGTCTGCTGAGCCTGGATTCCGGGGCAGGGCTGCGTCGTGGATGTGCTGGGGTTGAGGTGTCACTGGGCCATTCCAGTGGGATGTCCGGTAAGTCATTAGATACTAGAGCAGGCACAAGCATACGGGAAAAGATGCAGAGAGATCAGAGAGGAAGGAAGTCACACGTCTGAGAGCAGCATTTAAAGAGTGAGAAGAGAGGTGCTAGCCAGCCTTTGTCTTGACCTACAAATCCTGCTTTGTTGCCATTGGGCCTCCTTTGGTCATGGGCCCTATGACACCTCCAGCTCTGTCACTGGACCTGGCCTTGATTATAGGCATTTGTAGTTCGCACACTTTCCATTCTGTACCAGCACAACCAGCTTTCCCTACTCAGGCCTCTATAATTTTTTCTTAAAAGCCCCCCTGACCTATTAAAGTTTCATTGTCTTTTTCCCCAAACAAGCATCATTATTAGTTCACTTGACCCAGGTTGCCCTTCAATCCCCAGTCAATTGGGGGAGATCATATAGTCTATTCCTGATCTGACAGTTATTCCCCTAACAATTACTTTCTGTTTTTATATTTAAGCCATAACTACCTCATGTATATGTCACTCTCATATCTGTTAGGATGTTTTCAGTTACTGGTAATAGAAGCTCTGACTCAAACTGATGCATACAGAAGGTAACCTTTCTTTTTTCTTTTTTCTTTTTTCTTTTTTCTTTTTTATTTTATTGCTTACAGTCTTACAAAGGGTATTACATATGTGTCCCTTTTTTCCCCCCGCCCTTGACAATCCCCTGGCCTCCCCTATTCCCCAGTGTCTTATGTCCATTGGTTATGCTTACATGCATGCATACAAGTCCTTTGGTTGATCTCTTAACCCCCTCCCTCCTGCCCCCCACCCCTCCCCGGCATTCCTGCTGCAGTTTGACAATATGTTTGAGGCTGCTCTGCCTCTGTATCTATTATTGTTCAAAAGTTTATAATGGTCTCTATTATCCATGAATGAGTGAGATCATGCGGTATTTTTCCTTCATTGACTGGCTTATTTCACTTAGCATAATGCTCTCCAGTTCCATCCATGCCGTTGCAAATGGTAAGAGTTCCTTCTTTTTTACAGCAGCATAGTATTCCATCGTGTAGATGTACCACAGTTTTCTAATCCATTCATCTACTGATGGGCACTTAGGCTGTTTCCAGATTCTAGCTATGGTGAATTGTGCTGCTATGAACATAGGGGTGCATATGTCCTTTCTGATTGTTGTTTCTGGTTTCTTGGGATATATTCCTAGAAGTGGGATCGCAGGGTCAAATGGGAGTTCCATTTTTAGTTTTTTTGAGGAAACTCCATACTGTCTTCCATAATGGCTGCACCAGTCTGCATTCCCACCAGCAGTGCACGAGTGTTCCTTCTTCTCCACATCCTCTCCAGCACTTGTCGTTTGTTGATTTCTTGATGATAGCCAATCTGACAGGTGTGAGATGGTACCTCATTGTTGTTTTGATTTGCATCTCTCGGATGATTAGTGACTTTGAGCATGTTTTCATATGTCTCTTGGCTTTCTGAATGTCCTCTTTTGAAAGGTGTCTATTTAGGTCCTTTGCCCATTTTTTGATTGGATTGTTTATCTTCCTTTTGTTAAGTTGTATGAGTTCCCTATAAATTTTGGAGATTAGGCCCTTATCAGATATGACATTGGCAAATATGTTTTCCCACGCAGTGGGTTTTCTCGTTGTTTTGTTGATGGTTTCTTTTGCTGTGCAGAAGGTTTTTATTTTGATGTAGTCCCATTTGTTCATTTTCTCTTTAGTTTCAAGTGCCCTAGGAGCTGTATCAGTGAAGAAATTGCTTCGGCATATGTCTGAGATTTTGTTGCCTTTGGCTTCTTCTAGAATTTTTATGGTTTCCTGTCGTACATTTAAGTCCTTTATCCATTTTGAGTTTATTTTTGTGTATGGTGTAAGTTGGTGGTCTAGTTTCATTTTCTGGCATATATCTGTCCAATTTTCCCAACACCATTTATTGAAGAGACTATCTTGGCTCCATTGTATGTTCTTGCCTCCTTTGTCAAATATTAATTGAGCATATTGGTTCGGGCAGATTTCTGGGCTCTCTATTCTATTCCATTGATCTATATGCCTGTTCTTGTGCCAGTACCAGGCAGTTTTGAGAACAGTGGCTTTGTAATACATCTTGATATCTGGTATTGAGATTCCACCTACTTTGTTCTTTCTCAGGATTGCTGCAGCTATTCGGGGTCTTTTTTTATTCCAGATGAATTTTCGGAGAGTTCGTTCTAGATCTGTGAAGTATGCTGTTGGTATTTTAATGGGAAGTGCATTGAATTTATAGATTGCTTTGGGTAGTATGGACATTTTAATGATGTTGATTCTACCAATCCATGAACACGGTATGTTCTTCCATCTGTTTATGTCTTCCTCTATCTCTTTTTTCAACGTCCTGTAGTTTTCTGAGTAGAGGTCTTTTACCTCTTTAGTTAAGTTTATTCCTAGGTAGCTTAATTTTTTTGGTGCGATGGTGAATGGGATTGTTTTTATAATCTCTCTTTCTGAAGAAGGTAACCTTTCTATTCCATATAAAGGCAAGGATGGTTGGTTCAGTGGTTCAGCAGTGTCATTAAGGACCAGGTTCTTTACCCTACTCTGCTCTCCTTGGGATTGGCTTCATCTTCAGAATGGTGGCAAAATGGCTGCTTTCATAAACAAATACAAGAATACCCTAAAGAAGGAGAGAGTCTTGCCTCAGCCATGCAGTAAAACCCTTCCCTCCAGTCTGATTGGGCCTGCTTAGAGCATGTTTCCATCTCAGGACCAACAACAGTTACCAAGGGAATCCCACACTCTGACTGACTGGGCTCACTAGAATTCAGCTCTGTAGTTTAGGAGGGATCAACTTTCCCCTGGCATCCCAAGGCCATGTGTACCTAAATACAACCAGGGCTTTGGCTGGGAAGAAAAAGAGAGCAGTGGATGCTGGTAGGCCACAGACTTGTCTCCTTGGTTTCTCAGTTCCCTGATGGAAGGAAGTGGTGCCTTGAATTTTTTTTCTGCAGTTTGTACAGAAGACAGAATAAGCCTAATTTGTCACTTCTTTTTTATCTACAGCTCCTTCATTCCCAAGTTCATCACCCACCTCTTCAAGTGCAAGCCAATTAGCATGGTGGGAGCAGAACAGGTGAGATGAAATTGGTGTAGGGTCTTTCTTTATGGCTTTGGTCGTAGATCCAACACATATCTTCCTAGTACAGATCTGCTCTGGAGAAATGAAATTGCTGATTTTCCCTAATTGGGCATTGATGGCTTAATTCAGTCATCTGTTTATTTTAAAAACTAAAGGCCTTAGTGCACGAAATTCGTGTACTGGAGGGAGGTTGTCCCACAGCCCAGCCTGCACCCTCTCCAATCTGGGACCCCTCGGGGGATGTCCAACTGCTGGTTTAGGCCTGATCCCACAGTCGGACATCCCTCTCACAATCTGGGACTGCTGGCTCCCAACTACTCACCTGCCTGATTGCCCCTAACTGCTTCTACCTGCCAGCCTGATCACCCCCTAACCACTTCCCTGCCGGCCTGGTCTCCCCTAACTGCCCTCCCCTGCCGGCCATCTTGTGACGACATGGGGGCGGCCATCTTGTGACCACATGGGCATGGCCATATTGTGACCACATGGGGCGGCCATCTTGTGTGAGGTCATGATGGTCAATTTGCATATTACCTCTTTATTATATAGGCTTTTTGTTGAGCACCTACCGAGTACCCAGGCATTGTTCTAGGTACAGGGTTAATGCCACAGTGAACAAGACAGAAAAGATCGCCCTAACTGGTTTGGCTCAGTGGATAGAGCGTCAGCCTGTGGACTCAAGGGTCCCAGGTTCGATTCCCGTCAAGAGCATGTACCTTGGTTGCGGGCACATCTCCAGTAGGGAGTGTGCAGGAGGCAGCTGATTGATGTTTCTCTCTCATCGATGTTTTTAACTCTATCCCTCTCCTTTCCTCTCTGTAAAAAATCAATAAAATTAAAAAAAAAAAGACAGAAAGATCTCACCTCTATGATATTTACATTCTAGTAAGAAAAGACAGATAATGTACAGTTTAACAAGAAATTAGAAGGTAAGTATGCTAACGTGTATAAAACTAAGTTATGTGAAAGAATATCTGGGGCTTGAGAAGGACGAGGCAAAGTCCAGGTGGAGGGAGCAGCAGAGGCTTGGATGATTTTTGGATCCCGTACTGGGGCCGAGACCACTTGAGAGTAGCAAAGAAAGGCTTATCTTTTTGGTACTGAGAAACCCTGTCCACCTCCCCCAGGAAGCCTTCCTTGATTAGCCTACTTCATTCACCTGGATGCTGTGCCTCAAGACATCTCTTCATAGGCTGTATCAGCTCAGCACTAATGAACTGAGTTATAAGCTACAGCAAAGTCATCTCTTTTCAACTTCCACCTACTCAGATTGCCCGAAGTGTGAGCAGATTGAGTTCAGAGAGCAGTTTAAGCTACTGTTAAAGAAACAATAATATTCAGCCCCTAATTCTCTAAAAAACATCTACTTAGATGCACACTATTCATATACTGATCATAAATGATTCTCATATATTCATTGAAATAAATCCTCTCCAGGCCTCTACCTAGCAATACTTAGTGAACCTATTTCAGTTACTTCTTTATATTTGAAAGAACTCAAACTACATTTTTAAGTAAGAAGTTTCTATAATTCGGGCCATTTCTAGAACTCCTGCTCTTCCATCAAATTAGTTACCTTGGTAGAGGCTCAGCCCTCTCCCAGCTCAGTGACTTGCCCTCACACTGGGCTCTTGGCTGTGCTGGTCCAGCATGCCTCAGGAAGACGGCAAGTTGGCATGTGCCCCAGTGCATCATGGGGCTCATGAAGCATCAAAGCCGGAGATGTGATCTCTGTGAATATCAGGAATCTCTCGAATCTGATAAGTTCTGTATTCTTTGTGGGTGAGTGGCCTTCCTAGGTTATGAAAAGGCAGGATGGTGTGAGCATTAAGGTCATGAGCTCCAGAATCACAGAGGTCTGAGGCTGAATCCTGTCTGTAGCATAGCAGCTGCTTGTCCTTCGGCGAGTTCCTTAACCTCCCAGCACTTTAGAGTTCTCATCTATAAGATGGGGATAATCCTAGTACCGCCTTCCAGGGTGGTTACAGGGATGAAACAGATAATGCACCTAAAGTGCTTGGCCCAGTGTCTGGCATGGGACAAGCCCTCAACACATGCCAGCTCTTACTGAGTTAAGCTTCCTCAGATCAGGGAATGACTTTGTTTCTGCTTTCATTTCCCACCTCCCTGCAGAGTAGCATCTAGCCAGTGTTTGCTGGCTGTCTGGCTGGCCAGCTTTGACCAGAGTCAAAAATAAAGGGGTGGGCAAAAGAAGGTTTACAGTTGTAATACAATAATTAATAAATAATAACACAAGAATAAGCTGTTTTATGTCCTCACAACGGTAAACCTACATTTGCCCCACCCTGTATTGTCTCAGAAAAATGTCCTGGGAGGTTGCATGGATTCCGACACTGACTGTGTCTGTAGCATTTCAGTGACTCTTGCATATCATAAGCATAGAACTAATTCTCTCCAATAGAAACAGCAGCCTAATGGCCCAACATGTTGTCTCATTAGCACATGGTTCATTAGCTCATGGCTACTGGGAATTGATTCTGCTCACCTCACTGTTGTGTGTAATCAGAGAGGATGCTGGGCGATTAGATCGGTGTATCTGGAAGAGGCTTCAGCATTCTCAGTTACGGGGTTTCTGTCTCCAGACATGATGAAGCCACTGGGACACATTTGACTCGTTGGGAACATGTTTCCAGAGAGTGCAGCTTTGCCCAGGCCTCACTAGCTGACTTAGTGTCCGATAACCATGGTATTTTCATATCGTCACATAAATCCAATATCATATCTATTTTCCCCAGACTTTCTCTTCTTTAAAAAGTATGTTAAAATAATCAGCTCAGTTTCAAAGCTCGTATCTTCAGAAGAATATCAATTTAGCCAGTCTTGACTCCTGCTTTGAGATATGAATGAGAAAACCATCTGCGAAAGTGAAGTTTTACTTTCTCAGACAAATATGAGTGGGGGGTAAGGAGCCTGGGCCTCAGCAGGCCCAGCCTGGGGGAGGGCATTCTGCCTCAGGTCTTGTAGTGGCTGGAATCCAACCTTTAATAAAAACTGTGAAATGCTAAGCTAAGGTTTAGCCCAATCTCAGCTGCCTCTGCTTCCCCACACAGGTACTACACCATAAATTTAGATTCTACTTTAATGCTTGTGCTGAAAATAGGGATGGAGACATTTTTCTCCTCTTCATTCTCTCCCTGATTACTGTGAAAGTGAATTCTTTATCTGGGGCCCTCGAGTCCTCTTGAGCAATTGCAAAGGCATGTAGAACTGAACCATACTGGTATTTGTGATGCTTCTTGCTAGTTGTGATTTTCAGAGAATCTTATGGGATTTGCAGGGTCATTAATTAGTCTTATGGCCATGGTATCTATGACTGAGTGTACAGCAGAAATGGAATCCATTCGCAAAACTTACCATAGAGGAAGCAGCACTATATGGTGTAGGGAAGAGAGCCCTGAGACTTGGGGTCCAGTGCTCCCTCTGCTGTTAATGGTCCCTTTGATCAAAGCAGTTGCTTCTCTGCTTTGAGCTCAGGTTCTTTGTGTTCAAATAAGAGCACTGAACAGACACTCTCATACACCCCTCCTAGTCTGTCATAAGATGGAGTCTAAATATTTAAAGCAACATTCATGTCTGCGAAGTTATCTCATTTTCCTTTGTGTTATCTTTATATCTTATATTGACTTTTTATTATGGTAAAACATATAATTTACCATTTTAGCCATTTCTAAGTGTACAGTTCGGTAGTATTAAGTATATTCACATTGTTGTTTTACCATCCCCACCTCCAGACCTTTTTCATCTTCTCAGACTGCAACTCCATTCCCATTAAACACTGATTCCCCATTCCCCTCCCCCACCTCCTTGCAAACACCATTCTACTTTCTGTCTCTGTGACTATGACTGCTCTAGGAACCTCATATAAGTAGAATCATGTAATGTCTGTCCTATGGTGTCTGGCTTATTTCATTTAGCATGTCGTCAAGGTTTATCCATGTTGTAATATGTTTCAGAATTTTCTTTTTATGGCTGAATAATATTCCATTTGATCATACTCACTTTTAAATTCACATAATTCAAAACCATATGTAAAAAATATGTTTAGAGAAAATTTTAGACATTTTTTAAAAGCCCAAGCACCAAGGACAGAGAAAGGAGAATCAGGTGATTGTACACATGGCAGTTGGAAAAATGAGCAAGTACGATGGTTATTCTCAGGTTCAGTTCTTCCCAGTAAATCTCCAGGTGGCAGAGTGTTTTTAAGCACTCTTTTAACAAAACAAAACATGGATTGATAAAATTTAATTCCCATATTCACGACAGATTTAAAAGTTTAAATTCCCATATTCACGACAGATTTAAAAAATCTTAAACTAGAGACACAAGGAAATTGTTAAATCTGATAAACGGTAAAATACAAAAATCTTAGGAGAGGATGTGGATTACATGGGTAAATTCATTTGTCAAGATTGTAAAATTGCCGAAACCGGTTTGGCTCAGTGGATAGAGCGTCGGCCTGCGGACTGAAAGGTCCCAGGTTCGATACCGGTCAAGGGCATGTACCTGGGTTGCGGGCATATCCCCAGTTGGAGATGTGCAGGAGGCAGCTGATCGATGTTTCTCTCTCATCGATGTTTCTAACTTTCTATCTCTCTCCCTTCCTCTCTGTAAAAAATCAATAAAATATATTAAAAAAAAAAAAAAAAAAAAAGATTGTAAAATTAAGAATTGTGGGGTAAGAAAGCAGCCACTGGTAAGGCACAAGCGTGGTCATGTGGTTGCTGGTCACTGCTGCCACCCTTCCCGCCCTGTTCTTTTTCTGGTTCGTCCAACTGGTTCCTCGAGCACCCAGCAGAGACTGAGGGAGAGAACAGGGCTGGGAAGAAAAGAAAAGAATTGTGGGTAAATAAAATACACATATAGTAAACACAGGATTATTTTACGTTGGGAATCTCTTAAGACTTGCTGAACATACAATTCATATTTCAAGGATTGCAGTATTCTATTTCTACATTTTTCATTAAAGGCATTTT